TAATAATAATAATAATAATAATAATAATAATAATAATAATAATAATAATAATAAGAAACACCCAGACAAATATTTTGGCTCAATGATTTTTTATTTAGAGACCAAGACAATAGACAAAAACGTTGCTGAAAATAATTAAAAGAAGTTTTAGGCTTTTACATTTTAGTTGATTTGACTTACTAAAAAGTTACCGAGTAAATAAAGTAGGTTTGCAAGGGGGTTAACAATTCGGAACGTTATTGCCGCTAGTCAGCCTTACACGTGCTGAGAATTTTTTGAGGCGCAAATATTTTCATCTCCGTAGCTTCCTTTCACGGAATTCTCGAATTGATCTGATATTGCTACTGTTTGAAAAGTACACGCATCTCGTGTAGTTTTTACTATTACTTTTTTCATTCCTCCCTCTTTTTTTTTTTTTTTTTTTTTCACTTGTAAATAGTGTTTTTTAGGCAACTTGTTCAACGCTAGAGCTTATAAATAAGAGGTAATCTATAGGTAAAATTAGCACAAGTATACATCGGAAAAATCATCACTTTGCACCATTGGAATTCAGAGCGTCTGATACACTTATCACGTTTTTTTTTTTTATTTTTTGTGATTTTGAAGAATGCGTTATTCGTCGTTCCTTTATTTTATTACTTTTTTTAAGTCTATGTAGTTGCAGTTGGAGAAATTCCTAGGCATAAATATACGAACTTTCAATTCCCACCGCCAGAAGTCGTGCTCAGGATTAGCATATTACAAAATTGTAAAGGTATAAAAGATTACAGGCAAAACTCTCGTCCGGATTTCAATGGTTCTTTTTCATTATCGGAAGCCTAATGCGTTTTCGTCATTACCTTCAATCTCAATACTCATTATCTCAAGTTTCTTGTTAATAAGAGGGTTTTCACTTAGTATAAATTTTTTTGTCAATTTTTCTAATCTTATTTAAAAATTCGTTCGACGTGAAAAATCAAAAACCACCACGATTTTTCTCCAAAAACGTCAAAAAAAAAAAAAAGTTTAATGAAACGTTACTTGAAAATCGTACAAAGGACTGACATAAAAAACGCAACCGTGTAAAAGCACGATCGGTAGGTCAAAATGGGAGTTAGTTGATAGTAGTAAATAAAGTATACATATATATATATATGTGTGTATGGTATAATGTAAGGTATGCAAGAAAATAATAAGTTACTGATCGTCAGATAAATTATCTTTAGTAAATGATAGCATAAGTATATGAATCGAGTATTTTTTTTTTTAGACTAAAAAATTATTTCGACTCCACAGCAGTTGTACTGAGCTTCAGTCCCTTCTCATTGATGCGCGTTTTAAACTGTTCCGGTACTGGAAGCTCCACCTGAAAAATAACAATCACCCATACAATCAACTTGCTTTGCAAAATTTTTTAAACTCTTTTGCAATTCACCACAGGTAAGCTTTACACTTTAAATGATAAAAGGTATATTAAATTTAACTACTCTTTTTTGGAACATTAAAATGCCACACTTAAAAATCCAAACAAAAAAAAAGCACTATCTTACATAATCTTCTCCAGTTTTGTCGGGCAGCAGGACATTCATTTCACTGGACTTGCTCGTGATCAGTTCAACATCCAGCGACTCCTTGTTAAGGTACATTTGACAGCCGTCAGTCTTGTCGATGGAAATCGTCGGGATTTTCCCAAACACCTGCAATCAGCGTAAATCAAAGCTCGCGTTATTAAACGCCATTTTTTGGAATACCCTGAAGTTTCTGGCGTCGAAAACAAAGAAGTTAAACGCGTGAACACAGCAACGCGTCCCCACACCCTGTACAAGACACGTTAAAAAAATGTCAAACAGAGTCGCGTTATTGTTGCCGTCGGGTCAAAGAGCTTCGTCGAGGTGATGATGACATCGTCGTGATGCCTTGCAAGATCGAAGCTAGGAAAAATGCGCTTTCAACTCGGTAGGTCACACTTTCGACCTCCCCTTACAAGTTCCACTAAAGCATCAGAGGGGCCAAGCCAATATAACTACGCGAAATCAGCATAGGTGGCAATTGGGAGCCGTTTTTCGCGGCCTGCGAGTATGACTGGCTGGACTGTCCCTTGGCGTTGACGAGCTACGTCTGGTCCGAGATCGTGAGCGAGGTCGCCGATTCCTTGGCCAATGAGACCACACTCTGGAGGGTTAGAACCTAATCGATACAACCACAACACAATCCAAAATTGACACAATGACGATTCCCCGTAAAAGGTCATAGCAGCTTGTCTGGTATGCGCGGCCATCGTTCAGCTGATCTACTGGATATTCCGATGGCTGAGGGACGTCAGGAGGAACAAGGAACACCTGAAACGAGTCGGCGTCCGCGTCCAGGATCTCGAGCTCAAGGTCAACGTTCTGACGTACAGGACGCAGTATGGCGCCTGGCCGCTCACCTGCTACCCGAAAAAGAGTCCCAAGACCGGCTTACAGGAAAACAACTCGTGGACCAAGTATCTTCTCACCGGGTATGCCCTTTTTTCTCCTTTGTAACGATCGTCGTTAATGTTGTCGCTTCACAGCGGGCGAAGTAAAAAGCCGAAGAGAGGAGTGCTGTGCAACATTTATCCGCGAGTGTCGATGAACGACCGCGACTCGACCGGTATCGACGAGGAGTCGCGCGAGAGCAAAGAAAAATTGTTAGTGCACCGGTGTATTTTTTTATTTTATTTTTTTTTTTTTTTATCACTTGCAGAGAGGTGGTTACACATAGTTTGTTTCAGGGCATTAACAGGTATCGACGATGAGGAAAAGGAGTCCTTGGAGAGCTGTTTGGATAATACTACCGGCAGCAAGGTATTGTTGGTGCATTCGAGCGACACTCATCGGGTGTAACTCAGCTTCGTGATTTGCAGGAAACTGCCGAGGCGGGTGCTCAAGGAGGATCTGTTTCTTCGGAGCAGAGCGCGAAATGGAGCAAAGTCGATTTGAACGCCGTGAACAGCGCCACGTACGTGAACACGTCCCCGACAAAGTTCGGCGGGCAAGTTTTGAGCTCCTCGACCAGCGACTCGAAGATAAAAACCGACACCCACGAGACTCTGTATCAAGTGAAGGAGAGATTGGAGAATCTTCACTTGACCCTTCGCAACTACAATTTAAAAGAGTCCCGAGCTGCTGAGCTGAACATCAACCGGAGCTTCAGTAAGACGAGAAACAAGGGCCATTTGGCTCCCGACCACATGGGAAACGACGATCCGGTGGGCACGTGGAGTGGTTGTGACTACGAGACATCGCTCAGTTGGAAGAGCGACTTGAGCGCACAGGAGCCTCCGGAAGCAACGAACGGAGCGTCCTTTGACGAGGACAAGGAAAGTGACTTTTGTCGTTTGGGATGCGCTTTGAGCACGGGTCAGGAGAAGAAGGCACGAGCAAAGAGGAAAATTGAAAAATCGAGTGTTTTCACGTTGGCCAAGGAGTTGCGCGGCTACAAGGAAGAAGCGAACAGTAGTGGAGGTGTTTGCGACGAAGCGCATGATTTTGATAAAGGCGACAAGGGCTTGGTCGTTCATCCCGTGCCAACGAAATACGAAAGTGATTCGGATGAAAAATCGACGTCGGTGCTTTTGGAGGAGGCGCTCAAGTTCAAGGAGATGTTGTTGAGAGCTGAAACAAATAAAAGCGGTAAGGAGACTGGTGGCGAAGATTCAAGCAGACAAAGGGTAACTGGGAAATTTTTTGACTCGCCGAGTACGGAATCGCGTTTTCGACCTAAATTGCTCGATATGATAACAGAAGAAACCAGCGAAAATGGATCCTCGGGTGTGAAAAGCAAAATTCACGCGGCCAAGAAACAGGAGTCGTTTTATTATCATACTGATCCTTTCGCGGAAGTGGAGACATCGAAAATCGACAGCAACACTCGTGAATGTGACACCAAAAGTACAAAATCTCGCGATGATGTAAAGGACACTTTGAATTTTGTATTTGATGAAACGGAGGTTGCCAAAGAGCAAAACTCGAGCTGTACAGCTCTAAAGAGCGATGCCAGTTCCAAAAGTTTGACAGAAACGTCCAGCGATACTAGCGTCAATTGGATGATCGATCAACTGGTCGAGACCGAAAGGAAGTATGAAAAAAATGAAAAAAATTCCTTCGATACTCAGTCGGAAAAGGAATTCGCGATGGTTGAGTCTTTGAACAATTTCATGAATTACCACAATTTTTTCGAACAGATTAAATTCAAGAACAACGAGTGTGACTACCTGAATCAGTTGAGATCAAAAAGTTTCGCGAAAAAAGATACCAACAACAAGGACTTGCAAAATCTCTCATCCAATAATTTTAAAGAATCGCAGACCATGAGTAAAGATGATGAAAAATTACGAGAAATAAACGTGCAAGGAGACAATTTGAGCAAAAGTCTCATAGTGCCTGATATTAATCACGACAATCATAAGAAACAAGGTACTCGGGACTCCATCAATTCGCATACTGCAGTGGAGAATAGAAATGTAGATGCTGGAGATTTTTTCAACAACGTAGATCTACGGGCGCAAGAGAGATCAAATCAAGAAAAATTTAAACAAAATGTTTCAACGTTTGGTGATACCAACTCCTTGCACAAAATGCCGGGTGTCTTGCATTTTCCAGCCGAATTCGGAGATACCAAAACGAACTTGTCATCAATTCGTAGAACCGATAGCTCGGTACCGTCCCCTCGACAGTTGGTCAAAAGTAATCTCGAGACGAACTACGACAAGCAAATCAAGGCAAAGAGCAACACAACTCTGATGCCAGTCGAAAAAATCGGCTCAGCCACGATGCACAAGAGATCGAAATCCTTCGTTACTCCACGTGAAGGTTTCCTTAGTGCCAAGAGTAGTGAATCGGAAAACAAAAATTACTGTGAACCGTTGACTTCTAAGGCCACTCCAAAGTCGTGCACTACCCGGGACTGCAAAGGTGACGATAAGAGTGAAATATTCAGGTTGATTGAAGACAATTTCTCAGGATCGTCGACGACGTCCAGCCACTTGTCCTTGAAATTTCACGATTTACTTGTACAGCAGGAGGATTCGTTGATCGACGATCGGTATCGCGCAAATACTCTGAAAACGCAAACCTCGTCTGAATCTTTTAGTGTATCAACCAGATCGTCGAAATCTTCCATCCCGGTATCGAAAAGTCGACTGGATATTGTAAAGAAAAGTGACACTAACTCTCGACCAAGAAGTTCAGGGTCTCTCGCCGATGAAACTCAAAAAGACGACGTTTACGAATTTATCGAAGAAATGGAAGATTCTTTTCAAAATACTGATGTCAGTGTAGCAGATGGTGAAGGAAAAAATGTCAAAAACGAAGCTGTCGATGACAATTTGAATGGGAAAAAAGAAAAGACGGATGTCTCCGAATCTGCGCAAAATACCACGAAGCCCGTGGTGTATGTTAATATAATGGCTGAAGATGATCAAACGATTTCAAAAATTGTCAATCCAGAACATTTTTTGGAGTACTTGAAAAATAGAGAGCTGAAAATTCAAAGTGTCGCAAGTGACAAACAAAAGCCATCTAATCTCGAGTCGGTTTTGTTCAAGGAAAACAGCTCAGCATCGATATCGGACTCATCGAGTCTTGATTCCAGCATCGCGCCCTCTCACATGAAAAATAGTGTGCCGATGACGCTGTCTAGAGTTGACTGCAAAGAGTCCGAGGTACTGGTTAAACCTATGATGGTCGAGTCAAGCACGTCAGTGTCAGACATGCCAAAGTGTGAATCGGACACTGACAAAAGCACATCGAGCGACCTAAAAATTTTCCAAATCCCGGAAGAATTGACCAAAGAGGAGTACACCACGTTGCTGAAAATCGTCAACGAGAATCGTAATTTGAACGAGTACGTTCATGAGCCAAGTAGACCGGAACAGCAAGCATGATTTTTCGAGCTCTTAATCATACGTATTTTGTGGCGTTTACTCGTATTTTTACACTTTGTTAAATTTTATTTTTTACCCATGTATTTTGTAATAAATTTTGATCTTTAGGACAAAAAAAATCTGCCAATTGATATACATTTGTTGAAACTTACCTGCATCTGAACACTTTGACAATTCACAAACTCGATACTAGCTACTACAGAGTCAACGACGATAGCGGATTTGCGACAGGAGTCCATAACAACGGAGTTAATTTTGCCTTTGACTGTTATGGCGCTGTCCTGGCAGCGGAATATATACACGACGTTGTTCATCTCAGTGTTGTCGATTACTAAATTTTGATTACCCTTGTGGTTTTCCTGATTTGAAAAACAAATTATCATCATTACAACACGTAAGTAACAAAAAAAGAAAAAGAAAATTATGTGACAGTGGAACGTACCACAATCCACTTCTTGCCATCGCGAGTAAAGACCGGTGGCTTGTCGATCGGTGCATTAGCCGGGAGCGAGGTCTTGCCGGGCGAGCTATTACTTACTACAGGAGCTTTGAAAGGCGCCGGTCCCGTTCTTAAACTAGCATTCTTATGCGTTTGCATATCTGAGGTTACTTTTTTTAGATCTGCAATGATACATATAAATTACAACATTCGAGCGTTCACTTTGCTTTATCAATATCATTTTGGTACTTATATCCCAATTATTTTTATTTTATGATCATATGACCTTTATAATTACGAAACAACATGTATATATTATATACTCGGCAGATAATGAATAATACAATACAACTGTGTGGGTTTTACTAATCAATCAATATATTTATTAAGTACGTGTATTTATGCGTTATATATATTACTTATAATGTGTTTATTTTCATCTACTCTTTTACTAGTAAATTTTTTTTTTTTTTTTTCAAATGGTATACATATTATATTGCTCTAAATTCGAAATTCAACAGTAAGTACATAATGATGTCAAATATTACTAGTCAGTGGTCAGTTTAAAATTCTCATGTATGTACGTAATAACTAACGTTGTGTTCTCGTATTACACTAAATATAAATCACATAATTTAAATTCGACTAGAAATATACCTCGAAAGTATCATCGAGTATCGGTATTACATAAGTCTTTTGAACAGCACAAAACTTTCAATTAGGCGTCTCAAGGAATTGATTTTTGTAACGGATAGAATGTGAAACGGTGCAAAGCTACGTTTTTCGACAATACATTTTTTCTCTTTTTAATAGAACAGTATCCATAGAATCTTGAATTGCTATTGTTTTTCTCATTACAAAAATCAATCGCAAATAACTACGTAATAAGCTCAGAATGCAACAGCGTTAAACATCTCATGAATCTCAACTCAGAACATGTCAATGCGAGCTTCCAACAACAATAAATAACTTTTTCAACACAATATGTATTATTATTAGTCAAATGTATAACTCGATACAACACAGAGAGCAAGGTGCACACACACACACACACACGCACACACAAAGATCACAGAACTCAATTAAAAACTACATAAATGGTATCATCACTTGATTCGTTCGAACGTCGAAGTCACTGATGTAGCGTCTCTACACAAATGTGCTCTTTTTTTTTTGTTTATTTATTCTTTATCCGCAAGTTGTTCATGTATACACAACAACGGTAACAACAAATGCGCTGTCAATAATATGATTACGACACAGCGCGCGGGTCACAATCGAAACAGTTCACGTCAGTCGGGTAAATTTATTTTATTGGTTCTAATAACTTTGTCAACCATGAAGTCCCTTGGGAGTAGGTAGTAGAGAGAGAGAAAGAGAGAGAGCGGTCAATGTACTGTGTCTTATGCTCGTGCGATTCAAGCTGAGATTTTCTACGATTCCACGGCTGCTTGTAACATAACAGGAAAACACACTTTTGTTTTAAATAAACCATGAGTACATAGAGGCCACCAAATGAACATACTATATGTACACCACGCATCAAAGACAAAAAAAAGCGCATGCTGAGACGAAAGGAGAAGAAAAAAGGAAAATCGGCTTACTTTTCGTGATGTTCTCGCCCTGGTTGATCTCGGCGAAGAGAGCACTGCGATCGTCGTTGGCGTCGAATAGAACGGGCTCGGGCATTGGCATCATGCTCGGCGGCGGGGGTGGTGGCGGGCCTGTCCAGCTTTTGGCCCACACCAGGCCGGTCGTGTGGTGCTGCTTCACGAACTGGTGCAGATCCGTGAGTATCTTCACCCAGGCCTCGCACCACTCCACGTGTGTCTTGTCCCTGAAACAACAAAAAACGATCGGTTGCTTTACGTTCCACGTACACCTTGCTTGCTTTTCCTCGGTTGGATCCGTAAATTTCATAAATTAGAGGGTGAGTCGTTTATCTCGAGGACAACGAAATACTTATACCTTGACTGAATCTGATTATTACTTCAAAATGTGTTTTTGGGACAAAAGTTTTGCTTCAAAGATTAGCTCACCACGAGATTCTATGGTGAAAATATATAACTACAACTTTAAAAAAAAAATGTTTTTTGACACAACGAGATAAGTATTTCATTGCTCATCCTGTATATTCAAACTACAAGTCACTCACACCACACACAGAATGGAATGTAAATTTTAGTTGAAGAGCTTCATCTTCGTTAAGATCATTGTTCTAAAACCATGTTGTGTTGGTGCAAAAAAAAAAAGAAATCCATCCACCTCTGCACGCATAAAAAAAAAAAAAAAAAAAAAAAAAAAAAAAAAATATGGGGGAAACCCACTTTTCCTTCCACTCCATGCGCACGCGGTTGATGTAAAATTGTGCAGAGTTGCTCATCTCCTTGATGTGGGGCGCAGGAGTCGCGGCAACGGTGACCCAGCCGAGGGCCAGGACGCTCTCGCCAACTGCGGACAGGTGGTTGAAGAAATCCGAGCCCCTGTTCTTTTCGCGGTACTCCAGGACCGCGGAGATCTGCTTCGAGGTCGGGGCCAGCAGAGCTACCAGCTCGGAGTCGCTTGGCGCCGGACGCGAAGCTGCGGTCTTCAAGAACTCCAGCTGGATCCTGTAAGAGGAAAAAAAATGGTCGATGTTAAGCTTCTTTATTAATTTTTAAATTTTTTCTTTTTTTCCGAACTTTTTGATGCTTTTTTCATGTAGTTTTACCTCCAAAAATTGAAATTGGAGAAAAAATTCCCCTCGAAACATATTTTAAGGTATTTAATCCTCGTAGGATTTCTTTGTCAAGTACTGTAATTTTATCAACTTTCACTTATCCATAGATTAACTGAGGAAAAAAAATTACCAAGAAAATATTTACTATTACTAAGTAAACAAGACAAAATATTTTTAATGTTTAAGAATCTTTTTTGTTGTTTGAAACAAATATTTTCTTGAAGTAAAAAAATACAAAATCTTGTTTTAATGGATCATTTACTTACTCGGAACTATCCTATTAGTAAACATTTTCTTACATTTTTTTATTTAGCGATTGATTTATTGACCATGTGAGAAAGCGATGAAGCAATTGGCCTTAATTTATAAATTTTTAACCATTTTTCTAGATCGAGATGAAAATTAATTTTCGTCACGAAAAAAGTGCATATGAAAGCGCGAGCGGCACAGGGAGGGAGAGAGTGTGCGCATACGTCAATAGTTACAAAAGCGTGAGGAAAATCAATCGAGCGTACTAGCAACTCGGTCAGTACTGCACCATTGGATACGAGCTTTGGTTGCAATTATCGAAACGCACGCCCAATCGGAACTCATTCACGGAGAAAGGTTCCGATTGTACGAGCCTTTTGAACGATCTCTCGCTCTTTAAACAGAACTGCATTTGGAAACATATCTCTTTGGCGACAGATCATATGGAAAAAGTGTCGTTTTTTTTTTTATTGAAAAATTGCCATGACAAAGATAGAATAAAACGATTTTGCTCTCTCGCAAGCGACATCAATTGAAAAAAGGCACTAAAACTTCTTGGCTCTTAAATCAATTTTAAGATGAATAATATAGGTACATCAAGAAGTTTCAATTTTATGCTTTTTGAGTGATTTTAACTAGAAAAAAAAAATTTTTTAGAACCAAGAAAATATTTACAAAAATAGTACCAAATAAATATTCTTTAAAATGAAGATAATGCATTAAGAACATTTTCACGTTTTCTAAAAAATAAAGAGAACATAATTTTATATCAAGAGATTATGTAATTAGAACTATTGTAGTGAATATTTTCTTGATTTTCAGGAATTGCTTTTCAGTGCAATTATAAAGAAATATCTGTGCCTGTTAAAAGTTTCCGGCAACAAATAAAAAATGTTAAATAATGCTGAAAACAAATTGCGTTCTTTTTTACAACATTATTAAATGTGCGTATGAATTTTTTCAATATTTTTTTACCAGACGTATTTTCGGGAAAAAAATCATTCCACTCCACAATTAAACATAAACTCGTATGGGTCAGTTATTAAATTATATTCATACTACCATTAAAATAAATCAAAATATTTTTTTTTTAATCTCTGAATGCAACAGCGTTAAACATCTCATGAATCTCAACTCAGAACATGTCAATGCGAGCTTCCAACAACAATAAATAACTTTTTCAACACAATATGTATTATTATTAGTCAAATGTATAACTCGATACAACACAGAGAGCAAGGTGCACACACACACACACACACGCACACACAAAGATCACAGAACTCAATTAAAAACTACATAAATGGTATCATCACTTGATTCGTTCGAACGTCGAAGTCACTGATGTAGCGTCTCTACACAAATGTGCTCTTTTTTTTTTGTTTATTTATTCTTTATCCGCAAGTTGTTCATGTATACACAACAACGGTAACAACAAATGCGCTGTCAATAATATGATTACGACACAGCGCGCGGGTCACAATCGAAACAGTTCACGTCAGTCGGGTAAATTTATTTTATTGGTTCTAATAACTTTGTCAACCATGAAGTCCCTTGGGAGTAGGTAGTAGAGAGAGAGAAAGAGAGAGAGCGGTCAATGTACTGTGTCTTATGCTCGTGCGATTCAAGCTGAGATTTTCTACGATTCCACGGCTGCTTGTAACATAACAGGAAAACACACTTTTGTTTTAAATAAACCATGAGTACATAGAGGCCACCAAATGAACATACTATATGTACACCACGCATCAAAGACAAAAAAAAGCGCATGCTGAGACGAAAGGAGAAGAAAAAAGGAAAATCGGCTTACTTTTCGTGATGTTCTCGCCCTGGTTGATCTCGGCGAAGAGAGCACTGCGATCGTCGTTGGCGTCGAATAGAACGGGCTCGGGCATTGGCATCATGCTCGGCGGCGGGGGTGGTGGCGGGCCTGTCCAGCTTTTGGCCCACACCAGGCCGGTCGTGTGGTGCTGCTTCACGAACTGGTGCAGATCCGTGAGTATCTTCACCCAGGCCTCGCACCACTCCACGTGTGTCTTGTCCCTGAAACAACAAAAAACGATCGGTTGCTTTACGTTCCACGTACACCTTGCTTGCTTTTCCTCGGTTGGATCCGTAAATTTCATAAATTAGAGGGTGAGTCGTTTATCTCGAGGACAACGAAATACTTATACCTTGACTGAATCTGATTATTACTTCAAAATGTGTTTTTGGGACAAAAGTTTTGCTTCAAAGATTAGCTCACCACGAGATTCTATGGTGAAAATATATAACTACAACTTTAAAAAAAAAATGTTTTTTGACACAACGAGATAAGTATTTCATTGCTCATCCTGTATATTCAAACTACAAGTCACTCACACCACACACAGAATGGAATGTAAATTTTAGTTGAAGAGCTTCATCTTCGTTAAGATCATTGTTCTAAAACCATGTTGTGTTGGTGCAAAAAAAAAAAGAAATCCATCCACCTCTGCACGCATAAAAAAAAAAAAAAAAAAAAAAAAAACAAGTTTAGTTAAACAAACGAACAGTGTCCAACATTAGTTAATATTAACAATATTCTATCTTAACAGCAATATTAAGTCAAACTAAAGTTTTAGTGAAATTTGGATGTAAAGGAGATAGGAAGGGCATGAGTAAGTAAATCATCTTCCCTTCTCTTGACACACGGAGGAAAATGAGCTGGATGTGGGATATGCTAATTTTTGAGTAGCTCAACTACACCATCTCTAAACAGCTAGATCTTTGGCTGTTGTCTTTTCCCTTCAAAATTTTTCTGGCAAATTTTCCTGCGTCATCTCGAACCAGCACGTTGCAGAGGTCCGCTACTTCTTACAAAAAGGCCCGGAAGACCCAAAAAAACCCCTCTCGACGATAGCCCTTCAAGGTAGACTGAGTAGTAAGAGTCAGCCTCTGCTACAACCCAGTCTACTGCGAAGCGAGGCACAGTATAGTTCAAATTTTACCCTCAAACGGTTGGCTGGGTAGTTAGAGTCCATCTCTGCTATCCCACGATCCTCCCTGAGAGTGGTCTCAAAAGTTTTAAACTCGGACACTTTGCGCTGGTTCTCTGCGTGTACATTCTAATACTTAAAATAAAAGTAAGTTTTTCCAAAGTATTAAAATAGTTAACTGTGTCTTTTTTTGTCGTGAAGTCAGCATAATTGTCTATTATGGCATCGATAAGTTCTAAAACCGCGAGAATAGATAATCAAGTGTTTTTCGTGAATCTAGAGCAATCACATTTACTTCGGATGGTATTGGTGGCTCATAGATCGATCGCGAACTTAAAACTCGTTCTTCACGTTAATCTGAGGCAATCACCATTTACTCCGGATGGTATTGGTGGCTCACAGATCGGTCGCGAACTCAAACTATTTTTCCCCTCGCGCAACCTCTAGGGCGTAACTACCTTTAACCTCTAGATCGCGGCCGGAACACTAGTTTGACACCATCGCGTTGGGTATTCCTGACGAATCAAAGGTGCGCTGCGAACGAGTGACAACCGCTTCAATTCGATCAGGACAATTGGGCTTTCCCCCTTCAGGATGCCCTGTCAAGAGATTTCGCTACTTTTTAGCCGTGCGTCCTACGTGCGTGCCCAGTGCTAATTCCGAGTTATTAAGCGCAAGCTTATACTCGAATAATCTGTCGCGCCGACGTAACAACAGAGTGGTAATTATAAGCACAAATTCGTAATATCCTGGAATAAATTTTTTCTTTAAAATATAAAATCATTCTGTTTATAATGTTCCAAGTATTCTAAGACTGTATATTTTTCTAATCTCGTATCCCATTTCTTGTCCAGGATGTGAAGTATACCCCATTGAAAATGCTTTTCACAAAGCTCATAGCTTAGTTAAGTTTGATGTGTTGAACTAACATTTTGTCAGGAATTTCCGAAACCTTTAACCTTTGTACACTAAAAAGAATAGTATTTTTTATATTTAATCTAAAGCCTTGCAAAGTTCTGAAATAAAATTGTGGAAACGATTAAGTTTTTTTTTTTTTTTTT